CTTCCAGACTAAGGACAGACAACTAAGAGGGGATATACTGTCCACTTCAGAGGAACTAGCCATTGAAAACTCGATGGATAGCATCAAAACACTGTCAGACACTGAAAACTTCCTGAGTAGCAGTAGAACACTGTTGATATAATGCCAGAAGATGAGCCTCTCAGGTCAGATGTCATTGAAAATATGACTGAGGAAGAGCTGCCTTCTCAGAGTTGACCACAATGATGTGGATGGAGTAAAGTTTTCATGAATAAAGCATTTGGGACCTTCATTTGATGATGAGACATGACTCAAAATGAGAAGAGACAGCAGCAAACATTTATTAATAATTACAACTTAGAAATGTAGGAAGTATGACTCTTAAAATTAGAAATTGTAAAAAATGAGATGGACCACATAAGATCGATATCTGAGGCATTAGTGAGCTAAAATAGAATGGTATAGGCTGTTTTGAATCAGAAAATCACATGGTTTACCATGCTGGGAATGACAAGAAGAATGGTATTGCATTCATTTTCAAAAAGGACATTTCAAGATAGATATTAAAGAATAATTCTTTTTGCGAAGGATAATAGTTATCCATATTCAAGGAAATGAATGCATTTCAGCAATGTAACTATTATTCAAATTTATGCACCAACTATCAAAGCTAGCAATGAAGAAATTGAAGAATTTTGCCAGCATCTTCACTCTGAAATTGATCAAACATGCAATCAAGATGCATTGATAATTATTAGTGATTAGAATGCAAAAATTAGAAACAAAAAGAAAGGAACAGTAGTTGAAAAATGTGGATTTGCTGATAGAAAACAAAGCTGGAGATTGCATGATAGAATTTTGCAAGAATATTTAGAATTTTGCAACAAATTCTTCATCACAAACACCTTACCTTTCTTCAACAACACAAAAGGTGACTATACACAAGTGGAGTTCTCCAGATGAAATACACAGATATCAAACGAGTCAAATAAGTCTGTGGGAATCGACAGTGGAGAGGCTCAATATCAGCAGCTAAACCCAGAGTAGAGTTAGACTGTGGAACAGACACCAAAAGCTCATATGTAACTTCAGGTTTAAGTTGAAGAAAATTCAAATAAGTCGGTGAAAGCCAAAATGTAACCTTGAGTCTATCTTACCTGAATTTTAAAAATATCTCAAGAACAGATTTGGCACATTGAACACTAGTAACAGGTGACCAGATAAACTATGGGATGACATCAAGAACATCACACATGAGGGAAACAAACTCATTAAAAGACAGGAAAAGAAATAAAACATCAATGTGGATGTCAGAAGAGACTCTTAAAGTTACTCCTAATTGTAGAGTAGCTAACACAAATGGAAGAAATGACATGAGAAAAACTATCCAAAAAAAATCCAAAGGGAAGCTCATGAAAATAAAAATGTAATGAAATGTGCAAAGAGCAAGAGTTAAAAATAAAAAAAGGACCTTCCATGCCCCGTATTATTTTAAACTGAAAAAACAAAAGAAAAATGTCAAGCCTCAAGTTATATTAAAAGTATCTATGGTCAAAATATTAAATGGTGCAGAAAGTAAGAAGATGGAAAGAACAGAGTCATTGTACCAAAAACAACTAGTCAACATTCAACCATTTCAAGGGGGAGCCTTAACAGCCTGCGATTGTAGACTTCTGACTGGGGGTGGGGCAGTGGGGCAGCGCTTGGCACCTCATCTGAATTGGTTAGTTACTCACAAGGGAGCTATGCTGAAAGTCTAAAGGTGTAACAGGGTGGAGGGAGGGCACTAGACCGCTCCACCCAACTGCAGGAAGAGGAATAGGGGTCTTGTAGGAGGCTCGCCTTTGGGTCACGAATGCTGAGGACTAAAAGGATATAAGGACTGCTAGGTAAGTAGTTCCTGGGATATACATCCTGAAAGAAAAGGGGATTAGACTGATGGATTATAATGGGTCCTGCTCACTATTGAACAGAGAGATACCCATCTACTCTTAGTCAAGATATCTGTTAAACTTGGAGCTATTTATATGGTCTTTCTTTTCTCTCTTTTTCTTTTTCTCTTTCAGTGTCTATCAATATAAGACAGGCAAGATAAGCAATCCCAAGAAGACACCAAAGGGACTGATGTTTGGGGAGGGGGGGAGATGGGAGGTGAGGAAGCGAGTGGTGATCCAATAATGACAGGAGCAGGGGAATAGCAAGGGTTCTAAAATTGACTGTGAGAAGGGTGCAGAGTTCCTGGTCATATTTCTTCAATTGAAATGTATCCGAGAGGAATTACTGAGAGGTGAAAGATAGGTAAGCATGATAGTGGGGGCAGGAGTAAAGAAAAAAAAAGGGAAAGAAGAAGAAAGTAATAATTTTATAGATGTGTCTAGATATGTATATATATAAATATATACAGATAGTATTTGTCTATGTATGTATATATGTAAATGGAAGCAGATAAACGTTGGGCCTTTACTTAAATCTTACCTCAGTACAAGAACGGTTTGTTCTAATAATGTGGCATTCTATGATACTCACTTCCTGACATGATTGCTGAAGACAAAATGGATGCATAAGCAAATGTGGGAAAGAAAGCTAATGGTGCCTGGCTTTTAAATGATATAGCATCTGGGGTCTTAAAGGCTTGACCTTAAAACAAGCAGCCATCTAGCAGAGAATCAACTAAGCCCACATGGAAGAAGCACGCCAGTCTGTGTAATCATCAGGTGTCAATGGAAAGAGGTATCAGAAGTTCAAAAGCAAACAATTTGACGGAAAGGAGCATGGACAAAGTAGAGAACCAAGACCCACTGTAAGATGCTTGGGCAGTCCCCCACAGAGGGGCCACACAGAAGGGATGGGAACAGTATAGTAGTGAGTTAACATATAACTATCCTCTAGTTCTTTAATATTTCTTCCCCTTACGATTATGATCTTTGTTTTACCTAATTAATCTGGTTAAATCTTCAAATGTTCATTTATATAATTAAAAGCCCTTGATGAATTAAAGCCAAAATAGATAACTCTTCAGAAACAGTAATGAGACTGATAATTCCCTGAGGGTATGGGAAGAAAGTGGGGGAGAACAGAAGGAAGGGAGAGCTGATAGCAATGATGACTGTATAACCCCACTTGAGGGGAATAACAGTATTGTAGGTGATGGTGTAAGATGGTGTAAGATACAGCACATAACAACAACAACAATAATAAATATAGATATATTATATAAATAACAATAATTATATATATAAAACAATAAGAGTCCCTGGGGAGTAGGGGAGGGGAGGGAAGGGATAAAGTGGAACTGATATCAAAGAGTGCAAGAAGAAAATTTAAACTGATGGTGGTAGCATTTGTACAATTATGCTTGATCTAACTGAAATAAGGATTGTTACAATATCTATAAGAATTCCCAATAAAATTATTAATAAATAGAAATTTAAAAATAAATAAATTGTGGTGCTGACAAAGAATTTTCAAAGTCCCATGGACTTCCAAAGGAACAAACAAATTTGGCATGGAAGAATCAAACCCAAACCACACTCTCTGCCACGGATTCAATGCTGACTCATAGCAACCCATGTGGATTACAGAGACTTTTAATTGTTCACGAGAGTAGAAAGCCAAGTCTTTCTTCCTCAGAGCTGCTGGTGGTTTTGAACTGCTGACCATTCAACTGCAGCCAAAATGTTCTTTAGAAGCAAGGATGGCAATACTTTATCTTAAATACTTTGAACATGTTATCAGAAGAGACTCACTCACTCACTCACTCACTGTCACTGAGTCAATGCAGCAACCTTTAGGACAGGCAGAACTATCCCTGTGGTTCCCTAGACTGTAACTTTACAGGAGTAGAAAGCCTCATCTTTCTTCTGAATCAGGAGAGACTAGTCCCTAGAAAAGGACATCACTGTTATTAAAGTAGAGGGGCAGTGAAAAGACCCTTGATAAAATGGATTGACATAATGGCTACAACAATGGGCCATTGTAAGGATGGTGCAGGATTCAGGCACTGTTCCATGCTGTTTTATAGGGTTGCTATGAGTCTGAACCAAACTAGACAGCAACTATCGATAATTTTCTTTCAAATACAAGTGAACCAATGGATGTTACGCTTGGAAATGTTAAAAAGGAAGAGACTATGTTTATTCTTCCAGCTGGTGGTAAAACTTTAGTAGCCACTGTTAATCTTATAGGATCTGGTAAAAATAAATAAGTGGAAAGCTGAAATAATGCAAGTCTGTTCATTTCTCATCACAGACCTAGAAAGGGTCATAAGAAATCTGTCATTCTTCAGATGGGTGGTGATCTGGAAGAAAGGCTTTACAGGTAGTAAAAAGGTTCACTGGTAGTAGGATTCTACTGCTCTTTTTTAAATTTAGAAGGCAATGTCAGAAAATTGCTATAGGTTTATAAAAAATAACTTCAGTGCAAATTAGTGTAATTGACTAAAAGTAGTTCCAGTTTATTTGATTAAGGTACCATTGTAAAAAGCCACTTAAATCCCAACACAAATAAAATACATAACTAAGTTACGGGACATCCTCTATGTCATAATTAAGAATCAGATTTTAAGATTAATCACGAGGAATTGCTTTTAAAATTTAAAAGTAAGTAGGCCTAGATATAATATGACTCTAACTTTGTTAAAAATGTAAAGCAGAAAAAGTGTACAAAAGGAAACAATAGTTAGCCAGTCAATAAACCTAAATAAGATTACAAGTACATTTATTCTCTTCTTGCAACCTCTTTTTAATAAAATAAACATTCAAAAGAAATACTTAATAGTTAAAATACTATTAAAAGCTAAGGTTCATTTTTTAACTTAAGTCACAATAACATTTTTAATTTACGTAAGGTATCACAAAGCAGATATGTATACAAGAAAAATAAGGATAATTGAAAGAGGGAAAGCTTCGTCACTAAATTAGGACATATTGTTCTAGGATAAGTGACATAACTATCTGTAAGGACTGACTAGTGCTCAATAAATAATAATCATAAATCTATTTCTATGCATCATTAAATCATACCTTGAGCATAGTTATAAGCTTGAGAAGGATCAACCACTTTGTCCATTGAGAATGAGTTGTGTAATTCCTGAGATTGTTTTTCTGTTACTTCTACTGTACCACTGGATGAAGACGATGAAGATAACCCCAGTCTAACATATCTTCCTTTTTTACCACAGAGTGAACAATCTACTGGTGTGGCACTAGGTCCCCGGGGCAGGTGAATTTCATCTCTGTTGTAGTTTCTCACAGCTCCACTGTGATGCACAGAGCGGTCTCGTTGCCAAATATAATGGGTTGGTGCAATGGCCATAACCTATAGTGGAAAGCTTATTTTTAGAACTTTACAAAGATTTTATAATTCAGTAGTATTAAAGTATATTAATTCATGAACAGCTTTAAAATTGGGTTACCAATGTTAAAGAAAAATAATATATTTCCAGATCAGGCAGTATGATCCATCAAGTAATCAGTTACTTGCATCCTTAAGACTATTCTGAGTTTGGGGAAAATGCATTTAACCCAAGAATTTGTGGTTATGTTTTTCTAAATTCCCAGCCTGGAATCAAATAAAAGCTGAGGGAGAACTCAGCTCTAAGGATACTGTGGCATCTGGAACACAGAATAAATAACTACAGTAGAGAAAACTTTCTTCTTAATGAAGCAACTATCCTCCATGATGCATGACATTGGAGTTTTTCATATCAGGCAGGCATTCTGTATAGTCATCTTTCTAGCCTGAGAACCAGACTATAGACATTAAGCCATTAGCAGCTGAAATAAATTCCACCACTGAGAAGCTGATGTCCAAAGGATAAAAAATAGTAAGAAGATCAGAATAGGTAGAAAAACAGTATTTTTCTCTAAAGAACCCTTATATATTTTTCTAATTTAATTCTAACTCAGAGCTCATGTGGTATAGTGGATTATACACTGGAATTCGATCAGCAGATTGAACCCACCAGTCACACCTTGGAAGAAAGATGAGAGTTTTTCCATTTAACAGCCTCAAAAATGTTAGAAGTTAAACCATGTCCTAAAAGGTAGCTATAGATCAGAATCTACTTGATGGCAGTGGATTTGGTTTGGCTTTTTGATAATCACAACTTAGCTCTTTCCAAAAAAAGGATTTGAGGTGGCTTACAAAAAGAGCAACTGTGAGAGAAAATAAAAATCATGAAATTAGGAGCCATAGGGCAAAGTGGGCTAAGGGAGAGTAAAAGCAGATATGCCAGCAATCGAGCATTTCAGGGAACCAGCTACCATCAACAAGTTGACTCTGACTCATGTAGACCCAAGCAGAATGTGCTCCCAAGGCTGAAAAAAAAAAATGGAAGAAACAAATTATAAAATTCATATCTGAGAGAATTTGTTCCTTTTTTTGACAATGGGAGTATAATGGGAAAAAAATGTTGCATTTAATGACCATGACAAGTCACAACTTTTCTAAGTCTTTTTTTCTTCTTCATCTGTGAAATGGAAAGACCGCTATTTATATCCCAAAATAAAATGATGTAAAATTTTAAACAGATAATGAAAATATTAAAAATTTTGTAAAATACTATACAAATGTAAAACATTGTTATTAACCAACATAGAGTGCATTAAAATAAAAATATCTGTTATGCAAGTAGGCTGCTCTGAAATACAGAAGTGACCATTTAAAATTATTTTGATACAAAATTCAAATGGTAACACTGCAGTATACAAGTTATATTCATGGTAATGATCGAGGATAATGATGGATAATGATCTATCCTTATATAAGTAACAAGTGAAACATTAAAAGCACATTAAAAATAAGAAAGTTACATAAACAGAAGATACGCAATAACACATAAAAAGTATTTTAAAATCCTTACCTCCTCACAGCATCGTCTGCTTACAATAGCCCTATAATCAATTCTATCCCAGAGTTGGTCCCTTAACTTTAAGAAATTAGGGAACAATTTTCTCCAATTTTTTCCTAAAGCCCATGGAAAAATTTCATACTTTGATTCTTCTTCATCTTCTTCAACTGTATTAGCCAGATACCTACCAAAGAAGACCAATAATCCAACAAAGCAATAGGTAAAAGACAATGGGTAAACAAGAGTTCATCTTCCCCACCCACCAAGAAAGCTTATAGACACCTAAAAGGTGTTCAACTTTATTCATAAAGAAATGCAGAGAATTAAAGAAATAAAAAATAGAAATACAAGAGGGCTTTAAAAAGTTCATGGAAAAAGGGAACTGAAAGATGATGGAATTTTTCCATAAAATTGTTGGTGCCCCTTGTGCATAAAAAATTACTTTATCAGCTCTGGATACCTTTGTTATTCCTATAAATCTTTTAAACTTTCATTCTGAGATGTATTTAAGTTTCTTTGAAACAGTCTGATCCCTTCAGGTCTTGTTTTTGTGATTTGTTAAATAGTTATGGAGCAATGTTCAGTGTGGGGCTAATTATTCCCAAATACTGAGACAAGAACTTCCTGAATACTCTATTTAATGCCCCATAAAAAGTTTTTCCACTCTGGCTGTTGGGAATAGGCACTATCACAAGCCTTGTATGAATGACAAACACTGTTCCCTCTAATCTTTTCCTATGTTATATCCTCAGAATCAGGTGGTTTCCATATATATATATCAATATACTGATGTATACTGTGGGGACAAGGTACCTCCCAAAATAAAACATAACCTATAATAATAAATTAATAACAAACTTACTTAAAACTAATACATATGGTAGAAGTAAAGTTAACAGTCAACTATATAACTATTTCAGATGTTAAAAAACTTAAGTAGGCACATTATCCTAGAAGCAGAAGATGAATACAAGATCACATGAGACTTCCAGATATGAAAACTATAGTATGTATTATGAAAAATACACTGAATAGGATTTATGGCAGATTAGACAATGTGGAAGAAAAGTTTTGTGAATTTGAGAGCAACAATAGAAACTATCCAAAATGAAATAAACAAAAATACTGAATGGAGTGAAGTTATCAATGAGCTTGGACAACTATTATAGGTGGATATGAAGTCTTCAGAAGGCCACAGGGGTGGGGGTAGACAGAAAAACTGTTTTAAGAAAAATGGTTGAAATTATTTATAAGTTTGGTGAAAAATATACGCTTATGCATCTAAGAAGCCTGACAAACCCCAAAGCACAATAGACATAAAACAAAACATACCATATTCTAATTGCTAAAAACCAGTAATAAAGGGGAAAAAATTTAAAGCAGAGAAGAGACATGTTAGATAACACAGAAACAAAGATAAAGATGAAGCAGTTTTCTCACCAAAAATAACGTAAACCAAGGTAGTGGAATATCATATCTTAATTAGCTAAAATATGACTGCCTTTAACATGATGCTCTTTTTAAGATCATATATATGATCAAAGTGACAGCAGCAAAATGAAAATTTACATGAAGGCTATATATGTATATACCTATAGATATAATTAGGTATGCAAAAGCTGAATCACCAGAGCCACAAAAAAATGTCAGAGGAAGTCCTCAGGCAGAATTAGTAATTATACCAAATGAAAATATGGCTTTATCTACACAAACAGTAGAAACAGCAATGGTAATTATATGGGTAAATATATAAAAGTAAAAAAATATATAAAAAAGTTAAATTGACTTGCTTTAACATGGTATGACCACTGTAAAATGGTACAAGCACATTTAAAAATTGGAAGGTACTTTCTGAAGAAACTAGAAATATGAGGAGGCTTTCCAAAATTCATGGAAAAGTGGTATTATTAGCTAATGGAATTTCCCACAAGATTTTTGAGGGCCCCTTGTAGAACTGTCCAATAATGTAGCAATCCCACTTGAGACCTAAAAATAAAAACAAAGGCATATGCATACCTGTGCTCATTGCTGTTTTAGTTACGATAGCAAATAAATGAAAACAACCGAAGTGTCTATCAATGGCAGAGGAGATAAGCAAACTGTGTTATATACATATAATGGAATATTATGTAACCATAAATAAGTCCATGAAAAATATTACAACATGAATGGAACTGGAGGACATAATGCTAAGTGATGTAAATGAAGCATACATATAAGGACAAATATTGTATGATCCATCTTTGATAAAAAGACCAAAGATAAAGAAACCAATGTTTATTGGTGGTTATGAAGAAAGGGATGGAATAGGGAAAATATGCTTCACACACAGACTTGTTATTTTTGGTGATGGGAAAAGTGGCACTGAGTGTAGATATAGGGAGCACAATACAACCAAAGAAATGACGGTATCTGAGTACCAATGTATGGGTATAGACAAATAGGTACTTAGGTGGGTACAGATTTGTACATAGGTGAGAACATATAGAAAGATCTATAAAGCAAAACTAAATCCACTGCTACTAAGTGATTCCGACTCATAGTGACACTATATAGCATCTCTGAGGCTATAAATCTTTAAAGGAACAGGTAGTCTCATCTTTCTCCTGTGGAACAGCTGGTGAATTTGAACTGCTGACCCTGAAGTTAGGAGCCTAACACGTAACCTACTATGTTACTAGGGTACCTCGAAAGATCTATAAAAAAATAAAGCCAACTCACTTGACCCAGTCAATTCCAACTCATAGTGACCCCACACAAGAGAGTAAAACTATCCCTTTGCATTTCCAAGACTAAATCTTCACTGAAGTACATAGCCTTGTCTTTCTCCCATGGAATGGATGGTAAATTCAAACTACTGGCCTTGCAGTTACTAAATTCACTGCCATCAAGTCAAACCTGATCACAGCAACCCTATGGGACAGGGCAGAACTGCCCCTGTGGGTTTCCAAGAGTAACTTTTTATAGGAGTAGAAAGCCTCATCTTTCTCCTGAGAAGAGGCTGGTGGTTTCAAACTGCTGATCTTGGGGTGAGCAGGCCAACATGTAATCCATTACACCAACCAGGGCTCATGCCTTGCAGTTAGGCATGGGCAAATACAAGTATGAGATGCAGGAACACATATTCATTGAAAGCACAAATTCAAATACTCCATAGAAATAACCAAATACCTTCTAAGACTGATTTTGTGGGTCTGAAGGCTTAGGATGGTAACTCAGAGACAACTCCGTTAATTGCATACATAGTCCACAAAGACAATGTTCTACATTCTACCTTGGTGAGGAATGACTGAGGTTGTAAAAGCTTGAGAGTGACCATCAAAGGCAGTGGTTCTCAACCTTCCTAATGCTGCGACCCTTGAATACAGTTCCTCACGCTTTGGGGACCCCCGTGTGTGGGCCTACCTGCATGTGGGCGGACCCAACTGGAGACAGATAGAGGTGCAGTGTCTTGGTTCCTAAGACCATTGGAAATATGGTCCTTTAGGTGACCCCTGTGAAAGGGGCGTTCAACCCCAAAAGGGGCTACGACCCCCAGGTTGAGAACCAGTGATCTAAGGCAATCTATAGGCCTGAATCAATCATGGCATTAGTCAGGGGGCAAGTGTCTTCATAGAATGTTAAATGTAATTTGGTCTTGTAAGTTTTCTGGACTCAATTCAATATGAAAAACGAAAGAAAGCACCCTGCTTTGATGATACATTTTATGAAACAGTGGTTTTGAAATTATGCAAGGAAGTGGACATTATCCATTATGTGATCAAATATGGTTTTCTCCCTTTTCACACGACGCTGATTTTCTAGTAGTGACCTTGTCTATACAACCTAACTATATTGATAAATGAGGAGTGGGTCTATTGAGCTCATTTTCCCCTAGTCACAGGAAAATGTGTCCTCTGAATAGATGCAAAGATCAGTTTTTTTCTAGCCCTCCTTAACATCCATGTATAGGGTAGAAATGGAAAGATATTCTTAAATTACATGGATTCTAGCAGAATTCTGACCTATTGATGAGGAAATCATATACATTAAAACCATTTAAAGATCACAAAGCTACTATGAATTATCTAGTATAGTCAGTAAAAGATTTTGAAGATGCACTCTAGTTCTTTGACACAGTCCAATTTGTTCAGTAATATAGTCAGTGAACATTAACGGTATCCGATATGAACAACTTGTTACAGACATAAATAAGAGGAGCCCTGGTGGAATAGTGGTTATGCACTGGGTTGCTAACCCAGGTCAGCAATTAGAAACTGCAGTTGCTCACAGGAGAAGCATGAGGCTTTCTACTTCCATAAAGAGCTACAGTTTCAGAAACCCATAGGGCGGTTCTACCCTGTCCGACAGAGTCGCTGTGAGTTGGAATCACCTCAATGAGTGAGTTTGGTTTTCAGTTTTGTTTCATTATAGACATAAATCCACGGAATGTGCCTACATTTTCTCAAAGTTGTTCAATGTAAAAGGACGATCATGATTTTAACTACATATTAACTAGAAATTTAAGAGAATACTCCAACTTTAAAATAATATCTAATTACTACTAACAGACTATGCAAATAGCAGTCTCTGCAAACCTAAGACTAGAAGAACTAGATGGTACCCAGCTACCACTGCCAACTTCTGTGAAAACGATCACATTAGAAGGTCCTGGATAGTGGGAGAAAAATGTAAAACAAAACTCAAAAATCGTATTAAAGGTCAGGTTTATTGGTTGAACGGAGACAGGTGGGACTCGAAACTGTGGCCCTTCTTCACCCTCAGGCCTGAACCTGAACTCATTTCCTATAATATTAATAAGTCATTTAAGATCACAAGGACAGCATTTACTCAATAACAAAGTTCAGATGATTAGAAAAAGAGGAGAAATTGAAACAGTAAACACGGGGACAGATGCATAAGTGATGGTACACTGAGGGAAATGCAAAGGATGAGTTGAAGCAAAATGACTATGACTTGTTGAATGTAAAACTGATCATCTGTAATTCATATAAAAGTTAAAAACAAACAACGGAAAAAGTATCTAAGTCCAAGGAAAACTTATATGGGAACACTGAAAAATGTTAACAGGTACAATACAAACTCTAGCAGAACACTGAACAATAAATCTTAGGCATACAGTATTATATTAATGAATAAACATAGAAAATAGTCTATGAAGGGAAAATATGTTAAGCTTTCATAGAAGACCTAAGTACGTTTTAAATAAAGTATCATATACGTAACAAATAATTACTACAAAAATCACTTAGGGAAAGCATACTTACAGAGCAATGAAGAAATTTATCCTGGTGTGCTCCTTTATAGTAAATCTAGCCCTCTTGAAATAAACAAAAGTCATAGCCAAGAGGTACTGTGGAGGAAAAAGTTAAAAATTAATAACAGTGCTTTATGCAAATAAGTAAAACTGCATTTTAAAACAGTTTAACTTTCTATTTTTTAATGAGTAATATTTTTGCCACATTTCTTTGATATCTATGATGTATGCACATATATATCTGCTATTCCTAAAACAGTTTGTGGAAAAAAGTGGAAATCAAATATAACAGAATTTTCCCATGGGCATTTTGAGGTCCCCTCATACATATGTACATATATCAAATCACACATATTTCTTTCTAAACCTTTTGAGCTGGTTGCAGACATTCACACTCACGTCTTAAAATTAACTCTAATTACAAATTAGAATAACATGGCTGTATTTGCATGTGGGAATAGTATTTTAAATGCATTATCAGAATAATTATGTCTACTCTGAATTAGGACATTATGTCAGGTTCTGACTAGTCAAATTAAAAAGAAGTTGCCATCTTGATGCATTAGACTCCCTATCTAAAATGTTCATCTCGTTTTCTAGGCTTGGCACAAAGATGATTCCAAGTTTTCAATGCAACTTCCAGTAAAGGGATCTTGAAATATTACACTCCTAGGTATTTCAAACACTACCCCCTGCAGTCCAAAAATTAGGGTTATTATACATTTTAACTCAAAACATTGCTTTAATCTTTAAATCAACTCCATATGAATTGGGTATTTAACGTTAATACATTACTGTAAAATTTAAAAATTATTAGTGATATTGTGGTTATTTAAAAAGGTCCTTATCTTTTAGAGCTCCACCAGGAAATATTTACTGTTAAAATGTTAGAATGTGACCCCACCACACTGAGGCAAAACACTAAGGGCACGAGGCAGAGCAATAGGGGAGCAGAGCAGGGAGCTCCCAAGCGAGTGCAAAGGACAGACTCTGGGGCCAGAGCGTGGCACCCCATCAGACTCAACTGGAGGACACGCCTGGAGGTCAACAAACAGACCTTGATCTATTTACAGTTTTTCTCTTTTTAAAAGTATTTATTTTTATTAATTTATTTTCTTGGTCATTGGTTTTCTTTGTTGTGGTCATCATTGTGTTCTCTTTTGTCGCTTAGTCTTGCTATGCCTTGTTTTGGTGTGCATATTATCTCTGCAGCTCTATCTAGATAAGATAGGCTGGATGAACAGTAAAAAATCTTTTCTAATTTTATCTTTGCCATCTTAAACTCAAAATAAATGTTCTCATCAATACTCATTTAATTAGCATTTAATCACAAGCTAGATTTCTGATCATTCCCTTTTCTGTAGGCTGCCACTATACTGCATCATGTGAAATCATGCTGAATTTTCTAAGGTGACTCATGGTCTAAAGTGCCATCTGCAAAGCTAAAACCTTAACTGTCCAGATAATTCTTACAGATACAGAAATATCAGTGCTCTAGTATGTAAGACAGCAGTGGCATTTTAAATAAAATACTAGTGACATTTTGAATAAAATAAAGAACATGCTATTCCTGAAAAAGTAAACACCATGTTAAACTAATTTAGCCTTTCAAGATTGGGACTTGTTTTATTGGAGTCATTCACAAAGTATTAAATATTAGTATGTATAAAAGACTGTCTTAGCAGGGTGAACATCACAAAACATTCCTTCTCTGCAGCCTGATGAAATTCTAGCCAAAATATATTAACTCTATGCCAAGTATTACTTTCAACTAAACAAATAAGAAGGCCACTTAATCAACATTCTATAATTACTATAATTATATTCCAAAATTGTTTCCTACAATTCTACAATTACTCTAGTATAGAATGGATCTACGGTGTATGCTAATTTTAAAAGTTAACATGTAAGGACTCTAGTTTAAAGGAGTAATACAAGCTAGTTCTTTCCTTAACCCTAAAGAAAACTCTTAAAACTCCGTAAAAGTTACTGCTGGCAATAATTTTGTTACCAAACGTACCTTGTCTGCAATTTTACAGCAGCAGTCCATCCATAAGAAGTCTTGAATCAAATCGTCATCTGCAACAAAAGATAACTATGACTTGCCTTTTTCTTTCTAAAAATTAATTTTACAAAACATTGTGATGCTTAGAGATTAAAGACATGAATTTACCAGTGTTACCTAAGGTATATTGTTCAGTTCATTGCAAGCACTGTATAAAAATCTTCCATCTTATTCCCATTTGATTTGCCTTTATACCTCAGACTGGAGAGTTGGTAGAAGTGTTTACATAATAATTTTGAGAACTGCTTGAGTAACTCTAGACTAGCTCTTCATTGTTTTCCAAAACCAATCCTTAGTGGGTGAAAATGGGATCTCATAAAGTCCCATGACTTTATTTGAAAAGTCTCAGTCCTTGAGAAATAATGATTTAATGGATACTCTGCTTTCTAAATATAGTTTATTTTCCCTATAACTTTCGACTGTTAGGTTCCAGGATGTTTTTAGTTTTGAAGTATTCTTCTTCTCTCCTCCTATTTATCTCTATCTATTAGTTGAATATAAAAATATGGATCTATGTTAAAAATTCACAATTCATTAACAATTTCTAATTTACATTTTAGAATGTTAATGTTAAGTCATACATGATAAAGATTAATAAAACTACTGCTAAAAAGAATAACATCTAAAAAGAAAAAACATTTATTGCAATTTTCAAAGGCTAAAAATATATTGAGTTTTTGCAACTTGGGAAATGTGCTTTTCCCATCTCTTTTAACTCCGTTTAGTGTAAGAAAATAGAACTTCTTAAATGTTTTTTTATACTTCAGAAAGTTGAAATAGGAATAATTTCTGCTAAGTTAATTTCTACTTCAGTTTCTAAGTGACATAAGATGGTAAAGCCAAGCATTTCATTTTATCACGATCACTTATGGATACGGCGAAAGTTTATGGGTAATATCTTGTTCGGCCATTAATGATGAGGAAAACTTGTATTAACAATATCCTATATCTAATAGAAACATTTTTATATCCTGTGTTTTTCTATGAACAATCTTATATATTTTTCCTGCTGATTTGATCTTCTCATTTTGCTTTTTAGAAATTTATAATAAACCTTCCACTCTACCTAAAAAAATTGTTCTCAGAAGTTCAGACTCTTGTCCCCAACTAACATCTCTTATAAACATCACCTGATCTTCCTTTACAAATAAGGAAGCCTATAAGAATCCCAGAATGTGCTTTCTACTTGAGGAGATTCATTCCCACAAATATTTACCAAAACCTATCAATCCTATCCCTAATTCTAGTCAATTCTACCAGTTATTTCCTACTACCCTACCTGAAAAACAATAACAACAATTAATTCCTTCTCTTTTTCTTGGCCAGAAGCACATAAAAGAAGTTTCTTTTTGGCTATTTGCAAAGAATTGTACCAGGAAAGTAGTGTTGTCTCATAATATAAACAACTTCAAACTCAATTTCATTGTGAGCATAATTATAAAGGAAAGCTAATTTTTAAACAATATTCTCAAGGTGTAATACTGAAAGTTCTAGGGTAACTATCTTCCCTTTTGCTTAATAATGAACATTTCAGGAAACCCTGCAGGCTCAGTCAAACTGAGTCAGTTGGCTTATCTATGACTTTATATAGTAGTTTACTTTAGACTAAACAAAATTCATGCTGTGAACCTGAATTACATAACATTTACAACTGACATCTGGATCTAAGTAATCTTAGAATCTGGATAAATCTGGATTTTTAATGCTAAAGTAAGCAAATAAAAAGCCAACATTAAAAAAAAAGGTAAAACAAAAACTAATATGGTCAGATGGGGAATTTGACACAGAATTAACAGCATCCACTGATTATTGCGAAAATTATAAAATAGATCTTTACACTAGGTATTTTACAATTAACAGTATCACAATATTTCAAACCTACCAAATAATTTAAAGAAAGCAGTCATTTCTTGGCGCTGTATAACTAAACAAGGTCCTTTGGAGCGTTTAGATTTGCTGTTATTATGTGGATTTTTTTCAGATGCTTGCCAAGTATCTTTAAACATAGGACGCTTCAGATTAAGAGGTTTTTTGGACTGATATGATCTATTTGACCCTGATTTTACATGAACAGTAACAGTTGGTGGTGTTCCACAACACATCTGATTGTGCCTCATTTTGGCTTCCCGAGATTCCTATAAAACATAATCATCATACTCTTATTCATTTAGGCTACAAAACAACTGGGTGACACTATAAGAGACAGTCACATAAAATGTTACCGATCTAGCTATTAAAGTGTTGTGACAGTAAGACATGAAAAACTACTTTTAGAATTTAATGTTAGGAAAAACTATGCTTCCTTTGGGTAATTGATATAATTCAATTCCTCTTCCCAAATACTTAAGAATTAGGTAATAGATTCTATTTACCATTTGTCTTTGGCCACTAGGAAAATCAAAACCAAACTTGAGAGCTAATAACATAAATTGTTGAGCTTATAATCCCTTGTGATGTGTTTTCCCTGATAGTTTTTTTAAAATTCTGCTTGCATACTAATATAATCTACTTTGTGATGTTACTTATCTTGTGTGTCATCTCAAATTTTTTTAGAGCAAGGGAACTATTCCCAGAACTGATTTATTATCAATATCCAACTAGGATGTTTAAAAGTAACTCCCACTCAACAAAAACCTCTTTTCTTATAGGTAAATAAATTCCTTACTGTATTTTAAAATTTCATTTATTCAACAAGCATTTTTAGTATGTACCAAAAAGTTAAAAACAATTCTAGCAAAGAAATCGGTAGTATATGTGCTTTGAGGAATTCTCATAAATTGGGTCTCTTTAATTTTTAAAGTTATGTATATCCAACCATGATACAGAGTGCGTGATTTAAGTGGATATGAATGTATAGTGTTACTATTGAATAAATCTGAAAGTTACTCCACCAATATTTAACAATATGCAAAAGAAATACTTTATTTTGTGATGAATTGTGTGACTTTTACAGTTATTACTTTTGAGGTCACAGCACATCTAAAATAATGGGGAAATGGAGATGTGAACAGACAAACTGGGAACTACTCTAAACCCTAATGATAACCTCTAAATTCATAACTCAGTAATCTTGGCAGCCGTGCCTTCCTTGAAGTTCGGTCCAGATTCTCCTTCCTGATTCTCAGAAACTTCCTGCTGGGAAAGGAAGGGAAAATGAGATTACATGTAGATAAGCCCTGTTCAATATAATGCAAGCCACATATGTAATTTTATGAATTCATAAATCCATATTAAAAATGAATAAACAGGTGAAATGAATTTTAATGTTTTATTATAATCCAATATATCAAAAATATCACTTCAATATAGAATCAGTTTAAAAGTGGTGTTTTACATTTCCTCTTTCATATTGTCTCAGAAGTCTGTTTGCACTTATATCCTATGTCAACTTAGATGTTAAATGTTCAACAGCTAAAACAAAGAAGTAGTGTTTAATGCATAAAATTAAACTTCAGTTTTTTCAATTTAAGTTGAAATCCAGTTCTCTAGCTGAACCGGCTACACGCATTTCAAGTCCTCAACAGCCTTATGTACCTAGAGGCTACTGTATTATGCAGTATAAGACTAGAATATGAAGAAATCAATTCTATAATTGCTTCTCTCTCGTATATTTTGTTTTCCCCCTTTTCTCTATCATTCTTTCTAGTTCTTAAAGTTCAGCCAAATCAAAGGCAATTATAGAGTCATGGAGAGATAGTACAAACTTTATCAAAAATAGGTGACTGAGGCTCAGACTGGGCCTTGAAACTTGCTTAATAATTTTCTACTCTTTCCTACCTAGCTCATCTGGGAGACAGCTGGAGGGCTTAGGTGCATCCCCTCATTTGAAGAGGAGCCTTACATCTAAATGAAAAAAAACTAGGTAGTAGGCAGGTTTCTGAAACTGATGAGTGGCGGCTAGGTTGAGTGTATCAGAATATAGAATAACGGTGGTACATCTTCTGGGAGGCCAGTTTTAGTCGGTGTGGGTGGTGGTGGTGGTGGTTGTTAGCAGCTGAGAAGCTAGCTTGCAGCTCCAAATACAACAGGCTAAGGCTACTGTGACAAATAGGCTTTTCATGGGCTGACACTTTGGAAGTAAACTAACTGCCAGGGCTCTTTTCTGAGCCTTAGTCTAGGACAGTGGTTCTCAACCTTCCTAATGCCATGACCCTTTAATACAGATCCTCATGTTGTGGTGATCCCCAACCATCAAATTATTTTCATTGCTACTTCACAACTGTCATTTTGCTACTGTTATGAATTGTAATGTAAATATATCTGATATGCAGGATGTATTTTCATTGTTACAAATTGAACATAATTAAAGCATAGTGATGAATCACAAAAATAATAGGTAATTATATATTGTGAAAAATTTATTTCTAATGACAAATCAGTGAAATTTTGTCTTGAAACATGGTGTAGCATGGGTAACAGTAAACTTACTATAACAACAGTAAACTACATTGCTACATTTTGCAACAGTATGCGTAAACAGCCAATGTCAGTGGGAAGGTTGAGATAGCTTCTTTCTCACCAGATCAGCATATCTGCATGTGGGCGGACCGCCTGGAGACGGATAGAGGAGCAGTGTCTCGGTTCCTAAGACCATCGGAAAGATGTGTTTTCTCGTGGTCTTAGGCGACTCCTGTG